TTACGATTATAATCCAACATCATTTTTTAATAATAAAAAATGGTGTTGGATTATAATCATAACATGTACTAGCTGACCGATCAAGTATTGTAAAATCGTGTTTCACACCGTGTGTAAAATCAACAACAATGTTCCCTCCTGTTTATGCAAAGTGATACCAAATTCCGTTTTTGATGCAGTTTTGATCTGAATATCAAAAATGTAACTTTGCAATTTCCGTCTCCCGACAAGATGGAAACCTCGTAAAAATAAAAGCTTATCTGTTTCACAACACCAGTATATATAATGATTATTTTTCATAAAAGGACGATGGTTTTCTTCTTGCTCTTCTAATAGTCTTCTATGACTGAAACAGCAGGTCAATTACTAGGTCACGCCGTTCCAGTTTGCCGATGGATCCCGCAAGGTTCACCTAATCCATCTACAACAGCACCTGCTTACCCACGGTTTCCAAACGACGTGAGGGAATGGACCGGATTCTTTCGAGTTGTTAGACTTGGTGTACAACAACATAATCTTCCGGCTGGGCAATTCCCCACCTTATCAATAACCGATGGACAGCCTCTCAGAGTCGAAGGCGATGCAAAAACGCGTTTATATGCTAACGTATTATTACCTGTCAAAGAGAAGGATTATTCGTTGAAACACCTGCCAGATTCTTGGGTGCTTCTGACTATGTTTTATGCACCAATGATTACGTAGTGGCTAAGATGCCGGTGGAAATGAAAACGCGCCACAATCTTGATTTACGCGGTTATAATTTCTGGGATATTTACCGATATAATGACCGGCGTGGGATAATGGATCCAAATTTTGGTGACCAGTGTCGAAGATTCGATCCAAATTTTAAATTCAAGAAAAGAATCCCATTGCAGATATTTGGTGAAATGGCCTGTAATGGTCTCCATTATGGCATTTTATCAAATTATAGCGATACGTACTTTTTTAAGCGAGAAGAAACAACTCCAACCACCCTTTATGTTTCTCGTGTTGTTCAACCCACTGATACTAATCCAACTTTACGCGAATGCGTTTACTATATCAGCCAACTTGCCATTAATGATAATGTTGGCGATAGATTAGGATGTGGCGCGTTTGACAATTTTTCATCTAATGATAATGATGATGACTCTAGTTACCATGATTCTAATGATTATGACGACCCTGATTATGACCCTGATGACTCTGATGGTGATGATTATGTTGGTTTAAGGAAGAGGCAGAGAAAATCAAAGAGAATTACTGTAGGTGATTACATAGGTGGCGGGTCATTCGGAAAAGTTTTTTCTGGATGTTATGACAAACATAATGTGGCATGGAAGACTTGTGATGTATATAAGCAACAAGAGGAGATGAAAACGCTTAAACATATATTCTATTTTAAAAGAATGTTAAGGTACAATTTTTTTTTTCATTTATAATATTTTTTGGATAATATTAACTTGTCTATTGCAATATTGATATTAGGTCGTGATATTCCACATTTGTTCTACAACGGTTACATTATGACGGATATCTCTTTGCGTTAGCATTACAATTAATTGAGAACTCCCATCATATTGACCCGTCAAGACTCACAAAAAAGGAAAAAGAATTAATAGTCAATCAACTTAAGTCAATTCATAATTATGGCGTCCTACATAATGACATCTCAAAGCAAAATATTCTATATGAACCAAAGAGTCGCCATTACTTTTTTATTGATTTTGGCTTGAGTGAGATCGTGAATAATGAGTCGCCGAAATTGCGCAAGGAAGAAAGGAGATTAAAAAGACTTTTACGACTTTAAATATCTGGATGCATAGTGTTCATGTGAAAAAATTTGAATCAATTATTGATTATTATTCACTTTGACCAGTTTGTGGGCACTAGTTATACATGGGTAAATTATGTGATTTACAACAGCATATGGGCGAATTAGACTCATTGATGTGACAAATTGTATAAACAACTAATCATTTTATTACACGTCATTAAGGTGATGTTTGTTGTGATTAACTTCTGATTGCACATTACTAAATAAGGAATTGATTTTCTATCTAATTACCGAGCAAAAGACCCTCTTATTGAGTACTCCCATGCAAAATACCCTGGCACAAACTACAATATCTCTATTAATTTAAATGTGGGGTTTTTTAAATTTCTAGACTGCTTATTGTAAATGCGGAATATGTATGCATTTGAAATATTTTTTCTTTGCGACACAGACCCGCTGCTGAATAATATACCCGGGTCTTTTGCTCAGTGCGCTACGGTACTGAATTATCACATAGAGATTTACTTGCAGCAAGTTCTACCACAAAATCCTGAAAACCATTTTCCCGAAGAAACATAATACCGGCCAAATTGGCCAACATTATAACTAATGCTGGCTAACTTTGTCGGTATTAGGTCCTTTCGGGAATTTGTCCTTTAGGATTTGTGGTAAACCCCTTGCGTCAAATCCACCCATATGATGGCATGGCAAAATTTTTTTAATATTATCGACACAGCATTTTAAAAATGCTATGTGCCTAAATTATTTTTGGTTGCCGATATTATTATAGACTGCCGATATTATTATAGCTGTCTATATTATTATAGACCTCCAATATTATTATAGATTGCCTATATCGTTGCTATTATATTTAATAGAGTATTTACATTTGACATTATAGCAAATGTATGATCTTTGAAATCTTTAATACTTTCTATTGATATTATTATTAATACATCTACAGTAATAAGTATAAATTTTTAGTTTTAAACATTATTTCATATCGCAAATCATAATAAAATGAAACTGGGGACCTTTCTTGCTCATCTTTAAAGCTTATAAACCCACTTATACTCTTTTATTACCGTATACTTCCGAAATTAAGCACCCTTTTTTTGTTATATAGGTGCTTATTTTTAGGATATAATGTGATTGACACAAACTGGTTTAAACCAGTTTTTATCCTAACTATTTAAAGGGGTGTTTAATTTCAGGTGAATATAGAATGTGGGGTGTTTATTTTTGGGGGTGCTTAATTTTGGAAGTATACAGTAATAAAACTAACTCCAACCCTAACCCTAAAAAATATTTCCCAAAAAATTTTAAATTTTCCTAAAAAAAATAAAAAAATTTCATTTTAATCTGCCACATTTCATAATATAGTAGGTAAGTAAAAGTGAACATTTTTATTTTTTATTTTTTTGATATTAAGGTGAGGCCTTGCTCATATTTTTATTGATTAATTTATATAAGTAATTACATATCAACTATATAAAAGCTTAATTTGTATAATAACAAATAAAAGAAGGTGTGGTGGCTTAGTGAAGTGGTCAAGTTGTCACCCTCTCCAAGTAGCAGGTCTAGGGTTCAAATCCCACGGACG